TGGTGTTGCTATCTTGCATTACTCTAATTCCAAAGGAAAGGCAGCTGGTCCCCTTCCGGAAGCACCAAATGATGAATTTGATAAAACTTTCTCAATGAACCAGGCAAGATCAATCAGGTTTGTCCAAAATCATGACTATCAGGTTTGGCATTCTTAGTTTTTTGTGCTTTCTAAGAAGTTGGCTAACAATTTGTGCAGATGGAATGTATCCGCAAGTGGTGCTCGTCCCAATCCTCAAGGATCATTCAGATATGGCTCGATTAATGTTACCGATGTTTACGTCTTGCAAAATAAACCTCCTGTGTCGATCAGTGGCAAACAGAGAACAACGCTAAATGGAATCTCGTTTGTTAATCCATCCACACCAATCAGATTGGCTGACCAATTCAAGTTAAAGGGTGTTTATAAGCTCGACTTTCCCACTAGGCCACTTACAGGACCACCAAAGACAGAGACATCAGTGATTAATGGAACCTATAGAGGGTTTATGGAGATTGTACTGCAGAATAACGACACCAAGATGCAGAGCTATCACATGAACGGATACGCCTTCTTTGTCGTGGGGTGCGTTTTATCATCTATCTTTGCTAGCACGAGTAATGAGCCATGGCTACTTTTGTGTTCACTCGGTGATTGAATGAATGCAGGATGGACTATGGCGAGTGGACTGAGAATAGCAGGGGCACATACAATAAATGGGATGGAATAGCTCGCTCAACAATTCAGGTACAGTTTGATGGGGGGATTCTGCAGTTTCCATAAACAAACCTCTGTGTGCTGCTCGGATGTGATTTATACCTTTTCTGTGAGATTCCACATTGGTTGGAGGAGATGGGAAGGAAGCATTCCTTATAAGGGTGTGTTAAACTCTTCCTAGTAGACGCGTTTTAAAACCGTGAAACTAATGGTGATACGTAACGGACAATATCTACTAGTGGTGGGCTTGGACTGTTACAAATGATATCAAAGCCAAGCATCGGCCGGTGTGTCAGCGAGGACGAAGGGGATTGATTTTTGAGATCCCACATCGGTTGGAGAGGAGAGCAAAACATTCCTTATAAGGGTGTGAAAACTTCTCCCTAGTAAACGCGTATTAAAACAGTGTGGCTGACGGCGATATGTAACATGCTAAAGCGGACAATATCTGCTAGCAGTGGGTTTGGGCTGTTACATTTTCTTTTACTAGTACAATTTTCCTACTATATTTTAACTTCATGTCAGCAAGTTGGTTATATACACTAAATGTGTAGTGTGTGTTCCATATTACTATATGTAGTATATTGACATCCACCGTATTATGTTATACCCCCGACTTATTCATCTCGTGGTGTAGGTTTATCCGGGAGCATGGACAGCCATCTTGATATCTCTCGACAATGTCGGAGTTTGGAACATCAGGACAGAAAATCTTGACTCATGGTATCTTGGGCAAGAGACATACGTTCGGGTTGTCAATCCTGAGGCGACTAACAAAACTGAACTGCCTATGCCAGACAATGCACTGTTTTGTGGTCAGCTTAATAAATTACAGAAGTATGGAACTATACCCTTTTCAATTATATCTATCTCTTGGAAACTGAAACTTTGAATGATTCTGAACAATATTTACATGTTTCTGATATTCAGGCCACAAGATATCTCTTCTGCAACACCAATCATGGGCGGTAAATTGACGATGCTATTCACTCTGCTGACAATCTTCTCCACTGTAATATCTGCTTTGCGCTAAGCATCGTTGCTCTATGCCTGCTCGTGTTATATAAGTTGTCGGGCATGTCGGGTTTGTGGTTGAGTGTGTGTGTGTAGGTCTGTAAGTCTTGTGGATACCCAATTTTTCATGATTTTTGCATAGCATTTTTTCCAACATGCAAGCTGTAGAAGATGTATCTTTGATTTTCGTTGTCCATTCGATTTGGATTAATCATTCTTTCGATTCTCGAGTCATGATACACGAACTGTACCTTCAATGATCCATCTATTTTCATTACCACTGCTGTCTCATGTATCCATCATACTTATGCTGTAGTAATTTCAGTTTTATTTGTTATGCTATATCACTTGACAAAGTTGGTTGCCTTTGCTCAGGAGTAAGATAAGTCTTTATTTGTTGGGTGAATTTTCTCAACAAGTCTGCTCTTGTTGTTCATCTGATGATTGCATACAGATTTGGAATTTATTTTCAAAGAAGAATGGTGTTAGAATAGGTTTGAAACCTCAATAGATTCTTCAAGAAAATCAGTAAGGCAAGGGTTCATTCAAGAGATCAACAAGCCAAAAGACCAATCTAAAAGGATCCTATAAAACTTGGGATTTGATATAAGAATCAATCCGAAAGGAAGCAATAAGGAATTAACTCAAGGAAAAATTTAGAAACAGATTACCACGATGATCATAATCAAGAGTAAAGCTACTTAAATGACTCTGGCATGCAAATCATTCGTGTATATCTTATCATCTACCATAAAGTCTTTATAGTATGATTGAGACACCTTATTTCGTATCGGGTGTGTTGTGTTGAACGAAGGCTTCTCTTTCTTATCTCAAATAATCATGAGATTCACTTCTTTGGTATCTTTTTTTGTTGTATTCTCAGCTGTGAGACAGTTCTTTTTCTTTGTTTTTTTTTCAGTCAGAATGTCTGGGTTTGTGTTTCTTTTTTAGTTGGTGGCAATGAACAATCTCTTTACTATGCATTAAGTCGCCGTCTCTTCTTTTGATAAGTAAATGCTTTAACCGAAAGCTGAAATGTGGAACTGCTGGAGCATGCATGCTAGCATGTCGTAGTTGAACTTGAAGATTTCATTTTGTTCCAAGGAAAATGAAACAGACAAAGATACTGATAAATCCAAAGCTGTTTTTAATTTCTTTCAGGAAACTGAATCTATGGAGGGTCAAGCAAGCATCAGAAGTGTTACCTTTTGCATCAGCCAGAGGCGCACACATTGGTGCTGTCTCTGAACCCTTTTGTTCAATAATTGCTTTTTCCTTTTACAACTCACGCCTATCTTCCATAAAAAGAATCATGTCAAGGAGGACCAATGTTGAAGCCTCGTGAGAATCATCTACGGTGAGATCCCACATCGATCGGAGATGAGAACAAGTGCTAGTGAGGATGCTGGATTTCGGAGGGGTGGATTGTAAGATCACAAGTCGGTTGAAGAGAACGAAACATTCTTTATAAGAGCGTAGAAACCTCTCTGAAGACAATATCTGCTACCATTCGGCTTGCCTATTGTTTTTTTTTCTTTTTTTTCTTTTTTTGTATTTTCCCCTGATTGCCTTAGCCTTTGTGGCGTAAAAGATCCAAACTTTCTTGTCTTGGAGAAGGGAAGCATGTTATGTTGGAAGTACTTTGGGAAATTTTCCTATGTTCTCTCTCTCATTCTTCTGGAAATGAGTGGGTATCAGTGCATCTCAGATGGCCATTGTAAAAGCTATATGCCCCATTAGTGGAAACCCAAGGGATCTTGAATCTCAGATTGCTATCAAAACTTCCTCAAAAGTCTCCATCTTTATACATATTGACAGAAAATGTAGGTGAGAGAGCTTAAGAACAAAGCAAGTTACATGAATAAATGAAGACTACATTCGAATGAGAGCAATCTTGAAGGTAAAATGACTAAAAAAAGTTTTTAAAAATAGAAAGTCATTACATATACCAACAAGGTGCACTTTCTTTTTAGTTAACTCACTCATAAGAAATTTTACTTGTGATAGTCTGTTCTAATAGTTTTTACTCTTAACTTCATCAATAGAATTAGAAATCATATTGAACCTAAACATGGAAATCATGAACTAATTAAACTATCGTGCTGGTCTAGATTAGTATAAGATACTATTTAAGCAAAAATTACCATTTTAAGAGTAACGTCTTTTCATAACCTTCACACCAAAAGCAATCAACAGGCTAGTGTTCTCTTGCCTTTACATGAAAAATTGTTATGAAAACGAGTATTTTTATTTTTGACATACATCAAGTATCTTAATTGTTGGGACTTAATTTCATGACTGTCGTTGAACTCAACTTTTAGTTTCCGATAGAGTTGAATACACAACTCTTGGTTCACGCACATACGCATGGACGCGCTAGAGAGTCTCTTCAACATAGCTCTAGAAAGATAAGATAATGGCTTAGAGATGGAGCTTGGTTTTAAAATGTATTTATATATGTGTGTGTATATGTATATGTATATGTATATGTATATCTATATATGGTTGAATAGCGGTAGGAAACTATTATGTCAGCACTGATGAATCAAAAAAGTGAGAACTCCTCATCGTTATATGTCCCATTCCACGTCATTCTCATCTAAATTCTTATCCCAGTTTACCAAAAAAAAAAAAATTTACGAACTTAATTTTGTAATTTTTGGTCATAAATTATAAAAATTAGGTAAGTAACCTTAGAACAAAGAAATATAAAAGCTTCAATATCAATATCACTCGTTCTTGAATTTTACATATAATAAATGATAAATAATAAAAAAAGGAGTACATCTATCCCATCTATGACGGTTAAAGTTCATTGTTAGTAGATATTGTTCTATTTGAGTTTTTCTTTTCGTGCTTCCCTTCAAGGTTTTTAAAACGCATGTGTTAAAGAGAGGTTTCATATCCTTATAAAAAATGTTTTATTCTTCTCTCCAAGGTGAGATTTCACAATCCACCCTTCCTCAGGGCCTACCGTCCTCGCTAACACTCATTTCCTTTTACAACTGATGTGGGACACCCCAATCCACCTTCTTTCTGGGCCTAGCGTCCTTGCTGACACACTGCCTCGTGTCCACCCCTTTCGGAGCTTAGCCTTCTCGTTGTCATATAGTCCGGTGTCTAACTCTGACACCATTTGTAACGGTTCAAGCCCATCACTAGCCGATTGGCTAGAACAACTCAGTTAGCTGGTCAGAGTGTGTGTGTGTGGAGGTTTATAAGAATGAAATAATTTCTATAAAAGTGTTTAAAATGTTTTGGAAGATAATGAGTAATAGAATTAGATATATAATATGAAGTCATCACTACACCAACAACAAGAAGATGCATAAAGTAGTAGTAGTGAGCCAAATATAGTCATAATGATCACATCATAACGTCAAAAGGCAATTACATATGAACCCATGAAGATAAGAACTTGAGTAATAGTAGTAGTAGCAGCTGCAAAGATGAGGGCGAACTTTGAAACAAAAACACATATCCATGGGACCTAGAAATGGGAAACACCAACGTTGGCTGCTGCTGAGGCATAGAATCCTCCATTGTCTTTCATTAGAACACTCTGCTCTCCTTCCTGCAACACGTTTTCATGTGTTTCCATTCACTTCCGCTGTTAAAACAATAATAATGCACACAACAAAATATCTCCAAAACGCAAGGAGGAGAATCAGAATTCACTAATACAAAAATATGCGTTGTTCTTTTTTACCTGCTGGCGGATGTTTGTCTTCTTCACTGTCTGGTCGGGCATGAGACCAAAGTGAATGTGTGGAAAGTGGGCCCACTGCCAACACACACAAAAAAAGGACAAACATTAATAAAGATAAGATTTTTATTTTGTTTTGTTTTGTGGGCTTTGGTTTTTACATTCTTAGCAGCGGCGCTGAAGGCTTCTCTATGGGATATATCGGGATTCACTGACTTGATGCGTTGGATCTCGTCCCTGCATCCAATTTTTTTCATTCACTAAGAAACAGAGATACAAATCAATAGGGTTTGTTTGTTTGTCTGTCTGTCTGTTTGTTTGTTTGTTTGAATCATTACTCACTTGATGAAGCGATTGTATGCAGAAGGCACTCTCTGTCGCTTCTCTGGAGCTGAAAAAATAATACAGAGCTTAAATTAATGATCTTTTTCTATGTTGTTCTTAATTTGTTTGAAACTTTCAAAAAACAAGCTACAAAATCTCACGTCTGTTGATGACAGGGGGCCTGGGGAGCTCATCAATGACTCCTCGAGATGGCGTTCCAAAATTGTTGGTGGCTGCAAACTGGTTGATCAGATAATTGGGGTTTGGAGTGGGGATGTTTTCCTAAGAACACAATCAAACATGAGATGAAATTGAAAGTAAGAGTTAGCTAAGAACAGGAAATATAGGGTTTTTTTTTTTTTTTAAACCAGAATGTTATGGGAGTGGCCAAGGTGATGAAATTGATTAGGTGAAGGCAGGAGCAGGCCACGCATGTTGACAGGCAGCAGATTGGTGCAGTGTCCACATCGCACTGTCACAGTTTTGAACAAGCTAGAACAAGGAACACTGACCTGAAATCAACGAATTAAGAGAAACCCATCAAAGAAATTTGAGAAAAAATGGGGAAAATGAAACATGAGCCACCTCAAAATTGACCAAAAACCAAAACCCAGATGAAAGAATCACAAAAAGATTAGAACTTTACACAAAACAGGCAAAAAAAACATGAAAGGAAGAAGCTTTATATGGAAACAGAGAAACGAATAGTGAAAAAAGAGAGAGAAAAGATGATGATGATAATGATACCGCAAGGACAGTGTCACAAATGTTGCAATGGACATAACAGAGCTGCTCAGCTGCGGCGGGAAGGTGGTGGTCCAGCAGCTGCTGCTGAGACAAGGTAGTGGTAGTGGTAGTGGTAGCAGTAGCAGTAGAAGTAGGAGAAGAAGAAGAGGAAGAGGATGACATATCAAGATTATTGTATTTTCGCCTTTGCTTTTTATAAAATCTTGATTGATGATTGATGATTGGTCGTGTTTGGTTGACTGATTGATGGGATTGACAGATTAACCACCTCCTTGGATCTGCCTTTTTTTTTTCTTTTTTTTTTTTGCTTTGATAATGAGTTTTGAACAAAGTTGAGAGAATAGAGAGTAGGCATCAATGTTCTTGGTGTTGGTTTATAGCCTCATCATGTATGCATGTATGCATGCATGTATGGATGTATGGATGTATGGTTGGAAAGAGCGGGAGATGTGGGCGGAGGGAGGCAGAAAGGGACGTGTGCATGGGAGTGAGATAGCTTTCACACACTCACCTGTTGTTTTCACAAGTTAAAGAGGGTGTTGTGTTGTGGTTTTGTGTGGTCTCAAATGGACCATTTCTTTAAAGGTTTCCTCAGTTTCCGAACCCCCAAAACAAAGATTAAATAATACAAATCTCTTGGTGTTGTTGTTCCTGTTGGACAATTAGGTCGCCCTCTCTTTGGCTCTATGCTCATCTCTTGCCCTTCCTTAGGGCTCTTCTATCTTCACTTCCCTCCATCATAGCTCAATTATAGCGCCATCATCAGATTTTGTGTGATGTTTTTCCTCCCATCTTCTATTTTTATCTCTTCTCTCCCCCTCATATCCTTTTTCTAGGACCACATTTATGGATATGATGTCATACAAATTTATCATTTTCAAGTTGATTACGACCCGTCAATTACGATGCTCTTAAATTGAAGAAGTTATTGAGTTTTACGCTAACTTATTTAATGGTTATTATGATAGTGCATTTTCTTTTTAACAGTTATGCTTAAGAAACTCTATCTAAATTGAATTGAACGGAACCAAATCGAACTGTGTGTATATATACCTCTCTCGAATAAAACCCTAGCCTCTACTAATGTTTGTAACCATCTATTTCTCTTTTCCAAACACTCTTGAGTTCTCTCACCCACTTTGTTCGTGATTGTAACCTAACAACTCTCACTGTTGCTCGAAAACGAGTTTTTGAAACCCACCACCACTTGTCGATTCGTTGAGTTTGGAAACTCCTCACCCTTTAGCCCTCTCTCCCTCTCTCGAGATGTTTCTTCTTCCCTTTCTTGGAGTCATTGGCTAATTAAGGAAAAGAACTTGGGCATACAATTAAGAGACGTCATTTTCATTGGTACGAGTCTTTTTGAAAAATCCAAAAGAGAGCTTGTGAGATCACACCGGGTTGGAGAAAGAAACAAAATATTTCTTATGAGCGCATGGAAACCTCCCCGTAGTAGACACATTTTAAAAACGTGAGATTAACAGTGATACATAACAAGTCAAAGCAAAAAGTATCTATGAACTTATGCTCAAAAGGAACCCTAGCTTATAGCTCTAACCAAGCCTAATTTGATAGTTTTTCTAGAAATTTAAATTGGAGGGAGGCTTTATTATTAATTTCTTCAACCTTGAAACCTTATAGATTTGCTATAGGACTCCACATGTTGCATTGTACCGACACAAATTCCATGGAATTGGTCCATTTTCGAAATCTAGAAGTTGGTTTTTATTTACTTACAAAAAAAAAAAAGGATTTTTTTTTTTTTTTTTTTTTT